GTCTAATTCCATCACTTCATGATTTCAAGTCACCGCTTGCCTCGTCACTCGGGTGGTGATATAAGTAATGCATTTGCTATCTACCTCCAACGTCCTGTCCTTGTTTCCTCTTTAGATGGAACTTAGTTCGCTCTCAATCACGGTAGGCTGTTGCCGATCGTGCTCAGCCGACGGACAATGGGCATCTTGAGTAGAAAATAGTTTATAACCGTTCAAACCAGGTCGATGAGGCTCGGAGTGGTTTCCGAAGTTTCAGAACAGTTCTACTGTCCTGACGTTCACATTAAAGACTCTGACTTTGATATTAGTTGACAGTTAATCTGAGTCATATATGTCCTTCACCAGTGAGAATGCTGTGCTTGCATTGTAAATCCTCGCCTTTACGTCTCCTTGTTCTTTGACGATGTTGCGCAGATTCGTGAAAGTTTTCACCCTTGCCACAGCCTCTTCATTAAGTGTGATTAGGTTGGAGCTCTCGGTTTTGGATTCCATGATTTTGTATTATCTCTTCAGTACGTAGAGGTCTACTGATGTTTACAGAGGCTGCTGTCACACTAGCTGTCTTCACCTACATTTATCGGTGTGTATGAGGTAGAAGGGAGAGGTCATCTGCCACGAGCAAATCTTGTAGTGGATTTTATCTGTCCATTTAATTCTGTGTTGCACCTCAGATGTCGAGGTCTTCGTAATCCAGTCGACCACAAGAAGAAAGAGAAAGGAGAAGGGTAGACAGTCTTGTCTGACTCAGGTTCTCACTTTGAATGCATCGCTCAGCAGTTCTCCGTGCACCAATGTGCAGTGTAGTCCGTCGTATAAGTTCTGTATGATGTTGACGATCTTCTCAGTCCGTAATGCCGAAAGAACTCCCATAACTTTCTATTATCCACACTGCCAAACGCTTTCTCATACTCAGAGAAGTTGATGTATAGTGACTAGCTCTGCTAAATCGATTGCTTAACGATGATCCCTATTTTTGCAATTTGATCTGTACTCGGCCGACCATTGTGGAATCCTCTCTGTTAATCTGAAGGTTGAACGTCTACTGAATCTATTGGCCGGTTCAACAACACTTTTAAAATTGTTTTCGGATACTGGCAGCTTTGTGTTTCCTGTTTTCCTCACATTTGCTCTTATTTCCTTTCGTTTGTATCTTGATTAGGTGTTCTTCTTGCCGATCTATCCGCTTTTCCTTCAGCACCTTCTTGAATAGAATTTGAAGCTTGTTTTCAGTCAATTCTATGTGTAACGTCAATGCTTCAGCTGACATATTTTCAGGTCCTGCTGCATTCCCACAGTTACTTTATCTGATGTCTCCCATCGTTGGTGAGCTGATAGGTATACGGGTGATTGTAGGTGCTGATCCATTATCTGGAGGATTCATTTGAGCTGGACTGTTATCCATGAAGATATTGGAGAGAATTTTAATGTATCTATTACACTCAATAAAGTGTCAGTGTGTAGATTTATCAGATAAAGATCTAAAGGCCATTGACGAATTTCACCAAGCTAACTGATCTCATATCATCCTGAGTACGGCTGAGCAACACTCTCTTTTCCACGGAAGTGTCTCGATGAAATATCACTCACGCTTTTACTCACAAGGTAAAGTATACTGGACTGCCGATAACCATTTGCTCAGCGAACAGTAATTCCCAGAAATAAGACACTTGATACAGTTCACCCAACAACCAAATGATATGAAAAATTTATGTGACCTTTATTGTCATAACGAGGTAAGCGAAGGCGCTTTCCAATTGTAGCCGTATGCACTGTTAACGAATCCTGAATTGTTCATGCACTAAAGTATACAATGACGAAAAACAAAGGAATCACATGACTCATATAATCTATGTTTCGAATTATATACCAATTGTGTTCGACCGAAATGAAATACGCTCGCTCTATTTTCATAGCCGCACAGTGGCCAAGCGATGCTACATTTGAGTGATGGTCGTATCTCAACAAGACAGTAACATTCTTCAAAATCGACACATAATAGATAAGTCGTTCAAACTGTATTAACTGCCAGATTATCTATGAACAGAAATTCCAATTCAATACTGACAAGACTCTGTTACATAAAATGAAGATGGTCTCCAGTGTAGTGAACATCCACGCATTTGATTATGTGATCAATATCGTGCCTTGCATAATATAATGGTGGGAAATTCATCGAACAAGAAACGTTCAGTGAGCACACGTTTGAAACACTACTAGTTAAATTTTGACACACATGTGCTTAGAATGCTGATATGATGATTAAAGACTCGTATGCTCTGTTGATATAAGAAACTGGTAACAAAATAAACATTGATAAATTTAATAATCTCATTGCAACACTTTCTGAAATTCTCCTCCACCACGATCATGCTTCTTTTGCTTAAGTTCACCTACCAATACAGATGCAATTGGAAATCAACACACACGGGCAGCATACCAATATAAACGATGACTTGCTTTGCAATTTAGACAAAAGATGGTGCTTATAGTCACATCAGACTGAGCCTTGGCAGTTGGCACAGTTTATTTTGTAGATGATGTTTGATTTGTTTTCCTTTGTAATCTCATCCTTTGGTTTGCATAGGATTGATCGTAGTGATTTTGTCGGTTTGTGTGCCACCCCTATCTCTAGGGTTTTCAGCAGTCTCGTTGCGGTTTCTGATATCAGACAAAGCAGACGTCCTCTTCACCTACGCCTACATGAACATAAATTAACAGTCAAACGTCATGTTATTTCTTCACTTATATCAATACACGTGGACAACTGCGGACATTCATTTGATTGGAAAATGTGGAAATCTTGGACAGAGAAAATTCCAAAAACACCAGAGAATTTTTAGAAGCCTGGCACTCAGGTCAATCAGCAATCAACAAGCACATCGAAGTCGATCCAATTTACCAACCAATCAGAAATGTGTGTACAAATATAGGAACAAAAATCAAAGAAATGGGAGACACAACCAAAACAAAGAAGTAAACAATGACAAATTTAAGGTCAATAAGAACCAATCAACATCGAGGTGCACAGAACGAGCTGTGAAACACTTATGGAGAAATTCGAACTCCTCACTTCTATCTGAAGTTTGTGCTGATTATGTCGTTCAGAAGGACGATGAAAGCTCCACGACCAAACCATCCAGCTCGGAGAACAAAACTCCCCCAAAATCCTCCACCTGAGCTACAAATCTTCTCCACTATCTCAATTTATATGATAACTTGAATAAGATATAAGATGAGACGAGGTGGAGTTAAGTGTTGTTAAGTACATTCAACTTCTGATTGTTTATCAATAAATCAACTGATTGTGTATAGTCCTTCAACTGTAGTTTTTGACCAGGAATGTGTAAAAGAGGTTTCAATCCATAAATTATCCACCAGTCATACATGGACACCAGCAACAGATTGACCATTTCTAAACGTCAATACTCTTCGTCATTATACATCTGATAAAATTTCATTTAGAAACCGATCAAAACAATTACTGAAATAATCTGTAATTTATGTATAACTCCATGGATGGTGAGTAGATGTGACTGGTAAGTATTCCTATTCGACCTACAACACTTCTTCATAAATGTCTTGTGCTAATTAGTGATAAGATTCAAGATAGATTTCCTGAAGATCTTGTCACACTATAAAGTCAAGTTGCTTAAATGTCCACATAAAATGCAAACAACTAAATTGTTCACATTGTATTTAATAATAATTACTCACTGAATGTTCAAATTTGAGTAACACAAATGTTTGTAGTTCCTGTTAATAGTAAGACTGTTTTCCGGTTAAAGGCTACAATATAAAGAATATATTCTGCTTCCAAGCCAATATCTCCGTACTATACTACTTGCTCTTTGATACAGTCTTGTATGTATAAATTCCCTTCTCATATTACCTCGGACTGCATGCACCAGTTTCAAAGCATGTTTCAACGCACATACATCGAAATAACTGGAAGTACATTTTCTGTCCACATCTTTCAGAGCATTCCACAGAAACTTATCAATGTTTTGTGTAAACGCTTGTGAAATATACTCAGAGATATAGACACAAACCATCCTTTTTTCTGTTCTTCAGAGTATGTGCTTTGACGTGTACGTTTAAACTGATAAACACAATTAAATGTAACGTAAAGTGGCTACTTGTCTTGATTTGATTTGATTTAATATAATGACATTAAATTAACCTGTCGATATTCTGGAATATTTTTTATATTCAACCAATAAATATTCACATTATTATGTAAACATCTCTTACCGTTCCTTCATACTTATATCCCTTGTCATTATTCTTCACTGATGAAAGCGCACTCAATGTTATGATAAAATCTTTATACCGTTATCTTTATGTTGTAAGATATTGATGAGAAACCGTGAAATAGAGATGAATTCATGACTTTCTACGTCATTAATTGTTCTTGATTGAGTCAGATTTGAAGATGGCATAGGTATTCAGTGTTTGACAACGCTTTTACCAGTAGCACCTTCTAATAAAACTCGTACCCATCAAGAGAAATCAAAAGAGAGAAGAGTGTATTTGGCGATAACCAATATATCGGAATGGTCTGATCTAATCTGGCTAGCGATTGGGGTAGATGTTGAGCACGGTGTTCCCACACGTGATCTGATGCGGATGCATGACCGAGCGCCTTCAGCTAGGTGATTCCATTGAAACATGTGGTCAGCATCCAATGTCAAAAACGTACAGAGCTATTTACTTTGGGGATTTATTTACCGCTACAGATTCATAAGTGGAACAAAAATTTTTAAGAAACTGTCAACTAGATTATCCATCAGGTTTCACTTTCATTTTCATTAATAACTAATAACATGAAAGGAAATTCGTTTAATTCACATAAACAATCATGATCACTATATGAAATGACCTTTGAATGTAACCCTTTTTTAAAAAAATCCTTCAATCTGATTGGTAATTGTAATGATCCAATCAAAATTCAGTTTATAAATGATGTTATATGACAATGAAATACGGTGTTACCATAGACTGTATCCTTTTCATTTACTGATCATATGACATAAATATGTATTTAATAAACGAGCAAAACTCATATTAAGCAACAATCTTAACAATAGTTTATTTATTTAGACGAATCTGATTACTGTATGCATATGTATATACATATATATATGAAGATATGTATTTCGAATAGTTGGTTTCTGTTTATTCACGCCCATTCTTTTGTTTATAACTACCTTCAATGTATCAATATGTAACCAGTTTCAATTTCCGGATATACATTGCTTCGAACGTATTGAGGATAGAAGTAATAAATTGAGAATTCAAACAATAGGATAACATGAGAACGAATAAGAATTATTCTAATAATGATGATCACATAAATGATAATTCAAACAAATACAATTGGTTCACTGTATCACTATACGATAATGTTGATCAATATTCGACTAAACTATTCAATTCAATGAACCATTCAAATGATTCGATTGATAAACTAGGTAGACAGTTTACACAATTAGCTGTAGACTCAATGAAAACTCATGTAGATAATGAATTAATTAAACATGATCATATAAAACAATTTATTCTAAGTAGACAGTCAACATTGAACATTGGTAATTCACAGAATTCAATAAAACCTGTAACATCAACAACTCATACACCATCTATGAATCATAGGGTACCAGCAATTGATAAAAGACAGAAGAAGTCAATACATGGATTAAACAATACAAATCAAATAATAGATGAATCGAAGAGAAGAAACTCTCATCAAGAAAACTATCTCAGTATGAATTGTAACAATGATCAACAATTAAATTCTATAATATTAGTTAAGACAACATCTATGAATAGTGTATTGCCTACTAACAATATGATCAAAGATGTCACATCAATTCATCGTCCATCATTACAAATATTGAATCATCATTCTGAACCAAGTATAATTGAAGATAGAGAAGTATTTAACAAATCATCACATTCATTAACATCAGTTTTACCAACATCTAATCTATTGTCGACTTCATTGAATTCTATATCGAAATCAATACGGAAAGATGAGAATAGTGACACATTCAACAGTAAAATGACCAGTGATTTATTCAGTAGTATGATACATTCTGAGAATCAACCACAATCATTACAATTGAATAATCAAACTGAAAATTTCACTAATGATTTAAAACAGAATAATGATATCAGTAACAAGTATACATCAGTTGAGAATAGAATAACCAATTCCAAATCAAATGGACTTGGTCTATATTGTATATTGAATACAATTGGTTTAGGTAATTTTTCACAAGTGAAATTAGCTACTCATATTTTAACAAAAGGTAATTGAATACATTTTCTGTTGAGTATTGTATATCAACTTGTTAATATGTATAGATATACACATTGTTACTGAATGTGTTCTGCTTAAAAGTTATCATACTCAGATTCAACTACCGTCCAGGGATACCAGTTTTGCAACAGTTATCTATCCTAGAATTGTGATGTTTTCAGTTTTTAGTGTTAATAAAATTTGGTTGAATGTCGTATATTTATCGTTACAGATTGTTTCCTACAGAAAATCCAGCTTCCCTTTGAAAATTTACTCTGACAGAGCTGAAAACACTTATCCGAATAGGGTTTCAAAAAACACACGCTGCATACACTCGGGTTTGTCATCATCCGTAGTAATATATGGACCAGCTACCTGGGTGCTATATTCAGGGTGGAGCAAAATCTCCTTGTCAAAGCATTTGAATGCTTGAAGAAAGGACCACAACCAGCGAAAACCTTTAGCAGCTTCTATATTGCAATGTCCAGTTGTTTTCAAGTCATAACTTACTGTTACTCTCAAATCCTTTTGTTCCTGCAATTATGGTAGCGACGTACTGTCGATAGTATACTGGTATTTAATGATGTGTCCAGTGTGGACTAATACTTATAAACTTATGTACGTCTGTTACATGAAGGAGATAGGCCACTCGCCGCCATTCTCTATCAAACTCTGACTCAGGCAATCTTTTCCATTTCTTTCCAGTTGCTATTCATCATTCTCATGTATGCTTTCGATGTCGCAATATGTTCCTAGGTTTCCCAACTTCCCTTTCCCTTCAGAATTTCAAGTTATGAATTTATTCAAGATGCGGTTTGGTGATTTCCATAATGTATGGCTTATTCACCTCCAACGTATTTTCCTCATTTCCTCCTCAGCTCGAAGCTGATTTGTTCTCTCCCACAGTAGGCTGTTCCTGTTGGTTTCTAGCCAACGATATCTCGAGTAGACAAATATTTATAAATACTTGTACCATGTTGATGATGGTTGTGGTAGTACTCCAGGTTTCAGCTCCGTAAAGTAGAACTAACTGACTTGACGCTGGTATTGAAGATTCTGATTTTGATATTGGTTAATAGTTGTTTTCAGTAACATATGTTCTTCAAATTTAAGAATGCCGTCCTTGCAGATCCTCGTCTTCACGTCTGCATCCCATCCTCCATGTTCGCCGACGATGCTACCCTGATATGTGAAAGTTGCCACCACTATCAGAGCCTCTCCATCAAGTGTGACTGGGTTGGAGCTCTCTGTGGAGTATTTCATGATCTTGCATTATCCCTTCTGTATATTGAGGCCTATTGACGCAGACAGAGGCTGCTGTTACACTGGCTGTCTTGGGACACATATAATCGTGTGTATGAGACAGAAGACCTAGACCATCTGCTGAGTTCAAATCGTCTAGCTGCATCCAACCTCTTCATTGTATTCTGTGCTTCCACTCAGATGTCGACATCTTCACAATCCAGTAGTCCACCGGAAGATAGAAAGGGGATGATCAGCCTCTTCGGACTCCGGTCCTCATTTGGAATGCATGTATCAGCTGCCCTTCACTCAGAACTGTGCAGTGTAGTCCGTCGTATGAATTCTGTATGATGTTGACGATCTCTCCAGCTACTCAAACCATAATGTCGAACACAGTTACATAATGTTCTCCTATCCACGCTAACATATGCTTTCTCATCGTCAGAGATGTTGATGCATAGTGACGATTTCTATGCAACTGATTGTTCAACGATGATCCATAGTGTCTCGATTCGGTCTGTGCACCACTGACTATTACGGAATCCGGTCTGTTGATCTCGAAAATGGGCGTGTCCTGAATACTTCATCCTGTTCAACAACCCTGTATTCAGAACGTTCCCTGGCACTGATAGTAGTATGATTCCTTTGTAGTTCTCACTTTGCTCAGATCTCCTTTCTTCTGTATCTTGATGAGGTATCCTTCTTGCCAGTCTGTCTGTGGAACTTGTTCTTCCCCCCAAATCTTCCTGAATAAAATTTGAAGCAGTTATTTTTTATTTCTGACCTCAGTGCTTCTGATGATATGCTGTCCGCTCCTCCTGTGGTGTTTGTATGCACTAATGAATCCGTTGAACCTGATGACTGCCTGATTTTGAATTCCAAATACAATACGTTACTTTGTGTTCATCTAATACTTCTTGGTTAAATTGTGTTATTTCTGGGATTCCTGGTTTGTACTATAATTCAAGTGCTTCTTATTATCACATTGGCGTCACTATGTTACCTGTGATGGAACGATTGAACATACATTCAGCTTTTGATACTTTCGAAGATCACGTGGAAAGTTTCAAAATCTGGGTTACGACCAAGGGAAATGTTAAGGATTTTAATGTTGTTACTTATTTCCTTACATTCATCAGAAAGGAGGGCTTTCGAATATAAGACAATTATCGATTTTAGGCATTGGAGAGATTTACATAAAACCGCGAATTCATTGAAATTAAACATGTACATCATTGGATCCTGTGTCGGTTGCCTAAAGGTTAAGCGTTCTTACGTAGGATTAAAGGTATTGGATTAAATCTGAGATTTCGAGGTCATGGATGTACACCTTGAACTAGATTGACTTTGTGAATGAATTAACGTTTCGAATAGCATTCTCTGGCCGATCTGTGTTCACTGATAATCCTAAAGGTAAATTATCTCGTCTGACCAAATCAATGTGCATTTACCAATTTACTTGCTCATGTGGAGCTAGGTATATAGGTCGTTCGATGCGTACTTTATCTAAAAGAATTCAAGACACATTATCCGATGTAGCTAAAAAGAGGAGGAAATAGCTCAATAAGAAGTTCAATAATCAAACACCTTTTAAACACAGGTCACTCACTTAAGACAGACTCTACGTTCAAATTCATCTACAAGTTAGGTAGAAGTCTTCCAAAGATAATTACATTGTATCTTCTTTGCATTACCAAAACATTAGCCATGCATCTGGAAAAACCAGAATTGTATAAGAGACTAGTGCAACCTCTTCTTCTACCATGGTCTTAATGTCTTAATTTTTTTCTCTACCTTTATATTCTTCTACCTTTACAGCCATCTGTTTCACCTTCCATTGAAATGAGAACTCTCTATTGAATTAACCTTTCTTAGAACTTAATCTATTGATACTACTTATAACTAAACTGTATGACTGATTCTTTTTATTTCAGTAGTTTATTTATATTCTTAATAGCATCTTATTAATGATGAATGACGTATGTTTGGATTTCTGTAGAAGTAGTTTAAGTTAGCAAATGATAAACTAATGATCAAGTGTTACTTGGTGATGTTCATCCCAGACTATATTCTATGATCATGAATTGAGTATTGTAAGATCAGTCCACTGCCTGTTAATTATTATTATTATTATTATTATCATCATTATCAATAAACATTCCTCATTTCATCTTGTCTAATTTATCCTCTAGAACCAGTTATTTCAACTGAAGCTTTTTTTATAGAGTACTCATATAAGATTAGTTCTTAAACGTGACTTCTATTACATACTGTAGATGTATCTATGGTGACGTAAGAAGTGTAACCTTTGACCTATAAAAGATAATAATCAATAAAACAAGAAGGATCATTCATTCATTGATAGAATTTAATTAAAATCAATTTTGATCGTCAACTGATCGATTATTAAATGGTAAATTTCATTTAACTTTCCATCACTAAAGAAACATAAACAAACTAACAAAAATTTTGTTGTTGGTTAAATGACCAGCATTCATAATCTTATACCACCAGCAGTCTCACTAGATACTGTAGTATGATGATACCAGTAGCATTAAGACAAGAATATTCAATGATTATATTCTATTGACAAATTTGATTGATTGTTAAGTGTTGACTACCTATTGACTACCTTCAATCACTATCTTATCTCAACATAGTGTACGGAATGTTAAGTCACCTAGATTAGTGGTCACATTTCAACTTGTTTAATAGGATTTGATCTACACTAAGAAGGACCTGACATTGACATGACATTGATCACCAACCAGTAATCAGTTTTACAGGAGGTCAATCACGACCCGGATATAGCAGTGATAACGTCTCTGACTATGAAGCTGAGTGACACAGGATTGAATCTATCAGGGAGAACCATTTCCCTCAAGAATAACCTAAGTACACTTTACTGGCGAGTACCAAATAGCACGAAACCTGGGTTCAAGGTTTCCTGTTGAATATCTGTAACTATTATCTTATCTCAACATAGTGCATGTAATGTCATTTCACCTAGACTAATGACCACATTGTAACTTAGCTGAAAAGATTCGATCTATACTAAGAAGGACTTGAAACACATGACATCAATTGTACATGAATTTTAATTTTACAAGCAAAATAATGGTGATTTAGTCGTTAGATGTTTTAACGTTTCTCTACTAAACTACAGATTCGAATCATTAGCATGTTACTTAGATTTAGTCAATAGGATCATATTAATGAATAAGGCATAAATAAGAACAAGCATTTAAATAATGAAATAATAAGTTTAAGATATCTGTATTTGTGATATGAAACACATATTTAGATAAAGAGTAATTCTGTAGATTTTCTTAGTTTCTTTTATAAACATTGAGAAAGGTTGAGTTCATTTGAAATATAATCTATTCACATTTATTATGATCGAAGTAATTTAGCATCCAAATGCCCTGGTACGGCCAAGAATGGAGAGAGTCATGTCTAACTCTACAAATGCTCTCAAATGGCCACGCGCATAAACCACCACCAGGAACGTTTTACTCAGTCCCTTCTCACGGTATTACTACTGTGGTTTACAAAATTAAAGGAAGAAAAGTGAATGTCCGGTTCTTTAAACGCGTTGGTAGATACTGAGTGTCCACCTAAAGGATTTGAGAGACCGCGACTCTAAATCAATAGTCCACATAGAATTCAGGATCCTGAAGGAGTAAATGGTGTATGAACCAATCGTTGGCAACCGGCTACCATGAGATTGCATCTCCTTACGTTACTCCACTACCTCGTGGGCTGGAC